ATAAAAAATATACAATGCCCATTTCTACTCTGTTTTGGAGTATATTAACCAACTCAGTATGCTCTCTCATGTAAAATTCCGAAATTCTAATTTTACGCAAATCGAAAGAAATCTAAATATTAGGCGCCCAAAAGGTAAAAGAAAATGGCTCTGAATATAATCTGTAGAAAACAATATACAAGCCTTTTATACTGTTATTTGTAGGATATAAACCAACTCAATTGCTCTCTCATGTAAAATACAGAAATTCTAATTTACCCGAATCAAAAATACTAAATATTATCTAGGCACCCAATGTTAAAAACAAAATTTGCCTGAATATAATCTGTCAGTAAAATATACAATCCAATATTCTACCCTGTTTTGGAGTATATACACCAACTCAGTGTGCTCTCTAATGGAAAATATTAAAATTCTGATTGTAAAGGAATCGAAAAAATCTAATATTACCTAGGCACCCAATGTTAAAAACAAAATTGTTCTGAATATAATCTGTCATAAAAAATATACAATGTTTATTCTACTCTTTTTTGTAGTATATAAACCAACTGCATATGTTCTCTCATGTAAAATAACGAAAATTCTAATTTTACGCAATCGAAAGAAATCGTATATCTAGGCGCCCAAATGTTAAAAACAAAACTGCTCTTGAATATAATCTGTCATGAAAAAATATACAATGCCCTATTCTACTCTGTTTTTGGAGTATATACACCAACTCCATATGCTCTCTCATGTAAACTACCTAAATTCTATATTTTACTCGAATCGAAAAATGTAAATATTATCTAGGCACCCCAATGTTAAAAGCAAAATTGCTCTGAATGAATCTAGTCAGAAAATATACAATGCCCTATTCTACTCTCTTTTGGAGTATATACACCAACTCCATATGCTCTCTCATGCTAAAATACAGAAATTCTAATTTAAGTCGAATCGAAAATAATCTAAATACTATCTAGGCACGCCAAATGTTAAAGCAAATGCTCTGAATATAGTCTGTGAGAAAAAATATACAATGCCTTCTTCTACTCTGTTTTGGATATATACACAACTCAGTATGCTCTCTCATGTAAATACCGAAATTCTAATTTTACGCGAATCGAAAAATCTCCAAATATTATATAGGCCCCAACGTTAAAAAAAAATGGTTCTTTTGAATATAATCTGTCGAAAAAATATACAATGCCTATTCTACTCTGTTTTGGAGTATATACACAACTTCACTATGCTCTCTGATGTAAAATACTGCAATTCTTATTTTATGCGAATCGAAAAAAATCTAAATATATCTAGGCACCACGATGATAGAAACAAAATTGCTCTGAACATATTCTGTCAGAAAAAAATATACGATGCCCTATTCCACTTTGTTTTGGAGTATATAAAACAACTCAATATGCTCTCTCATGTAAAATACAGAAATTCTATATTTACGGAATCGAAAAAAATCTAAATATTATCTAGGCACCCCAATGTTAAAAGCAAATTTCTCTGAATATAATCTGTTCAGAAAAATAACAATGCCCCTTTTCTACTCTGTTTTGGAGTATATTACACCAACTCAATATGCTCTCTTCATGTAAATACCAAAATTCTAATTTAGCGAATCGAAAAAATCTAAATATTATCTAGGCACCCAATGTTAAAACAATATTGCTCTGAATATAATCTTTCAGAGAAAATATACAATATTCTCTTTACTCTGTTTTGTAGTATATACAACAACTCAATATGCTCTCTCATGTAAAATACCGAAATTCTAAATTTACGTGAATCGAAAAATATTAAATATTATCTATGCACCCCAATGTTAAAAGCAAAATTGCTCTGAATATAATCTGTCAGAGAATATACAGTGCCGTTTTCTACTTTGTTTTGGAGTATATACACCAACTCAATATGCTCTCTCATGTAAAATACAGAAATTCTAATTTTACACGAACGGAAAAATGAAAATATCATTTAGGTACCCAATGTTAAAAGCAAAATTTCCTCATATAATCTGTCACATAAAATATACAATGCCCTTTCTACTTTGTTTTTGAGTATATACACCAATTCAATATGCTCTCTCATGTAAAATACCGAAATTCTAAATTTACGTGAATCGAAAAAAAATCTACATAATATCTAGGCGCCCCAAAGTTAAACGAAAATGCCTCTGAATATAGTCTGTTAGAAAAAACATAAAATGCCTTATTCTACTTTGTTTTGGAGTCTATACACCAACTCAGTATTCTCTCTCATGTATAATACCGAAATTCTAAATTTACGTGAATCGAAAAAAATCTAAATAATATCTAGGCACCCCAATGTTAAAAAAAAATTGCTCTGAATATAATCTGTCAGAAAAAATAAACAATGCCGTATTCTACTCTGTTTTGGAGTATTTGCACCAACTTTATATGCTCTCTCATGTAAAATACAGAAATTCTATATTTAAGAGAATCGATAAAAATCTAAATATTATCTATGCACCCCAATATTATAAGCAAAATTGCTCTGTATATAATCTGTCAGAGAAAATATACAATGCCCTTTTCTACTCTGTTTTGGAGTATATACACCAACTCAGTGTGCTCTCTTATGTAAAATAACGAAATTCTGATTTTACCCAATCGAATAAATATAAATATTATCTAGGCACCCCAATGTTAAAAAAAAATTGCTCTGAATATAATCTGTCATAAAAAATATACAATGCCGTTTTCTACTCTTTTTTGGAGTATATACACCAACTCAATATGCTCTCTCATGTAAAATACCGAAATTGTAAATTTACGCAAATCGAAATAACTCTAAATATTATCTAGGCACCCCAATGTTAAAAGAAAATGGCTCTGAATATAATCTGTCAGAAAAAATATACAATTCCCTTTTACTTTATTGGAGTATACTCACCAATTCAATATGCTCTCTCATGGAAAATACGAAATTCTAAATATACGGGAATCGAAAAAAATCTGAATATTATCTAGGCACCACAATGTAAAAACCAAAATTTCTCGGAACAAAATGTGTCAGAGAAAATATACATTGCTATTTTCTACTCTGTTTTGGAGTATATACACCAACTCAATATGCTCTCTCATGTAAAATACCGAAATTCTAAATTTACGCTAATCAAATGAAATCTAAATATTATCTAGGCTCCCCAATGTTAATAGGAAAATTGCTATGAATATAATATATCAGAAGAAATATACAATGCCTTTTCTACTCTGTTTTGGAGTATATACACCAACTCAATATTCTCTTTCATGTAAAATACCGAAAATCTAAATTCACTTGAATCGAAAAAAATCTAAGTATTATCAAGGCACCCCAATGTTAAAAGCAAAATTGCTCTAAATGTAATCTGTTCAGAAATAATATACAATGCCCTATTCGTCTCTGGTTTGGAGTATATACACCAAATCAATATGCTCTCTCATGTAAAATACCGAAATTCTAATTTTACGCATATTGAAAAAAATCTAAATATTATGTAGGAAAACCAATGTTAAAAGAAATTAGCTCTGAATATAATCTGTCAGAAAAAATATACAATGACTTTTTCTACTCTGTTTTGGAGTACATACACCAACTCAAAATGCTCTCTTATATAAAATACCGAAATTCTAAATTTGCGCTAATTGAATAAGATCTAAATATTATCTAGGCACCCCAAAGTTAAAAGAAAATGGCTCTGAATATAATCTTTCAGAAAAAATATACAATACTATTTTCTACTCTATTTTGGAGTATATACACCAATTCAATATGCTCTCTCATGTAAAATACCGAAATTGTAAATATACACGAATCGAAAAACATCTAAATATTATCTAGGCACCCCAATGTAAAAAGCAAAATTTCTCGGAACAAAGTCTGTGGGAGAAAATATACAGTGCCCTTTTCTACTTTGTTTTGGAGTGTATACACCAACTCAATATGCTCTCTAATGTAAAATACAGAAATTCTAATTTCACACGAACGGAAACAAATCAAAATATTATCTAGGTACCCCATTGTTAAAAGCAAAATTGCTCTGAATATAATCTGTCAGAAAAAATACACAATGCCCTTTTCTACTCTGTTTTGGAGTATATACACCAATTCAATATGCTTTCTCATGTAAAATACCGAAATTCTAAATTTACGCGAATCGAAAAAAATCTAAATATTACCTAGGCACCCCAATGTTGAAAGCAAAATTGCTCTGAATATAGTCTGTCAGAAAAAATATACAATACCCTTTTCTACTTCGTTTTGGAGTATATACACAAACCCAATATGCTCTCTCATATAAAATACCGAAATTCTTATTATACGCGAATTGAAAAAAATCTAAATATTATCTAGACACCCCAATATTGAAAGAAAATGGCTCTGATTATAATCTGTCAGAAAAAATATACAATGCCCTTTTCTCCTCGGTTTTGGAGTATATGGACCAACTCAATATTCTCCCTCATGTAAAATACCGAAATTCTAAATTTACGTTAATCAAATGAAATCTAAATATTATCTAGGCACCCCAATGGTAATAGCAAAATTGCTCTGCATGTATTTCGTCAGATAAAATATACAATGCCCTTTTCTACTCTGTTTTGGAATATATACACCAACTCAATATGCTCTCTCATGTAAAATACAGAAATTCTAATTTTACGAGAATCGAAAAAAATCTAAATATTATCTAGGCACCCCAATGTTAAAAGAAAATGTCTCTGAATATATTCTGTCAAAAATAATACAATGCCCTTTTCTACTCTGTTTTGGAGTATATAAACCAACTCAATATACTCTCTCATGTAAAATACCGAAATTCTAAATTTACGCGAATCAAAAAAAATCTAAATATTATCTAGGCACCCCAATGTTAAAGCAAAATTTTTCTGAATATAGTCTGTCAGAGAAAATATACAATGCCCTTTTCTACTTTGCTTTGTAGTATATACACCAACTAAATATGCTCTCTCATGTAAAACACCGAAATTCTAATTTTACGCAAATCGAAGAAATTCTAAATATTATCTAGGCACCCCTAGGTTAAAAGAAAATGGCTATAAATATAATCTGTCAAAAAAATATACAATGCCTTATTCTACTCTGTTTTGGAGTATACACACCAACTCAATATGCTCTCTCATGTAAAATACCGAAATTCTGATTTTACGCCAATCGAAAAAAATCTAAATAATATGTAAGAACCCCAATGTAAAAAGCTAAACTTCTCTGAATATAATCTGTCAGAAAAAGTATACAATGCTCTTTTCCACTCTGTTTTGGAGTATATACACCAACTCAATATGCTCTCTCATGTAAAATACTGAAATTCTAATTTTACGTGAATCTAACAAACTCTAAATATTACCTAGGCACAGCAATGTTAAAAGCAAAATTGCTCTGAATATAATCTGTCAGAAAAAATATACAATGCCCTATTCTACTCTGTTTTGGGGTATATACACCAACTCAATATGCTCTCACATGTAAAATACCGAAATTCTAATTTACACGAATCGAAAAAAATGTAAATATAATCTAGGCACCCCAATGTTAAAAGCAAAATTTCTCTGAATATAGTCTGTCAGAAAAAATATTCAATGCCCTTTTCTGCACTGTTTTGGATTATATACACCAACTCAATATGCTCTCTCATGTAGAATACCGAGATTCTAATTTTACGTGAATCGAAACAATCTAAATATTATCTAGGCACACCATTGTTAAAAGCAAAATTTCTCTGAATATAATCTGTCAGAAAAAATATACAATGCGCTATTCTACTTTGTTTTGGAGTATATACACCAAGTCAATATGCTCTCTCATGTAAAATACCGAAATTCTAATTTTACGCAAATCGAAAAAAATCTAAATATTATCTACGCACCCCAATGTTAACAGCAACATTGCTCTGAATATTATCTGTCAGAAAACATATAAAATGCGCTTTTCTACTCTGTTTTGGAGTATATACACCAACTCAATATGCTCTATTATTTAAAATATGGAAATTCTAAATTTACGCGAATCGTAAAAAATCTAAATATTATCTAGGCAACCCAATGTTAAAAGCAAATTTGCTCTGAATATGATCTGTCAGAAATAATATACAATGCCCTATTCTACTCTGTTTTGGAGTATATACACCAATTCAATATGCTCTCTTGTGTAAAATACTGAAATTCTTAATTTACGCTAATCGAAAAAAATCTAAATATTATCTAGGTACCCCAATGTTAAAAGCAAAATTGCTCTCAATATAATCTGTCAGAAAAAATATACAATGCCCTTTTCTACTGTGTTTTGGAGTGTATACACCAACTCAATATTCTCCCTCATGTAAATTACCCAAATCCTAACATTACTCTAAGTATCTCATAAAGTGCACAAGACCCCCTTGATGTTGTTTTTTATAACTAGGGGATTACAGATGACATTACTCACGATATGACTGCGGCTGTTTGCCGGTCCTGTGATAATGTTTCTAATATCCAGAGAAGGAGAGGGGAATGTTTCTGCCCATAGGCAAATCCTCTGAATACGGCAAGACGAGTACACCGTGCTGTGATATTTTCACTAATGTAAACAAGAAAACAATTATATTGAATTAAATATTGCAAGGTGTTAACCCCCCCTATAATTTTCCTTGTAATTTCAAGGGGTTGAGGAGGACATTTTTGTCAAAATGGCGGAGGTGTAACTTCAGCTATTGTCTACTATATAATAAAAAAGGATAAAATTATTATTTACATATGATATGATTGCCAGTATCATATTACACCACATTTTCAAAATATCTGGGCCCCAGCAGCTGTGGGCATGGCAGCCAAGCGAGGGTGTCCCTATGCAACCAGGTTGGGCATTGCAGCTGCTACGGGCCCTTTGTGATTTGTCTGGGGGCTGCTTCGGGCCCTCTGGTGGTGGCTGTGGTAACAGCCACATAGCCAGAGGGTCTCTCAGCATCCAGGGAGGGCCTGGCGGCTGCTACTGTCACTCTGGCAGGGGCTATGGGCACAGCCACCTAACCAGGGGGTCCCTACGTAGCCAGGGTGGGGCTGGAAGCTGCTATAGGCCCTTTGGCGGGAGGTGTGGGGATACCCTGCTCTTCACAGGTACACAGTTTGCACCTATTTCTACATGTGTAGATTGTTTACATAATGGGCACATATTTGTACACATGTACATATAATATTATCACAATAAACATATATGTACATAATATGTGTACAATAAATATGTACTTTATACGTACCTAATATAAACAATATGTACTTTTTGGTGATATTATGTGATATCTACATATTATTGATTATATATCTTATTGTGATAATATGTATGTTACCACTGAAATTTTTAGAAATGTACATAGAGTACACTTTATGTACCTATGCATTGTGTACACATTATAGAAATAAATAGGTACATATTTTACAGATTATGTACATTTTTTCTACATGTGTATTTTGTACACATATGTACAGCAGAGTAAATGTACAGACTATACCTATTTTATACATTTATTGTGATATGTCAATAAATGTACACATGAGTACATTCTGGGATATAATTTTTAGCATATTAGACAGGAATTACACCGGTGACCAAAGTGGGTTTACACCCAGGTGCGCACATAGTTTATACATGTACATGTTGTGCTTATTATGTACTCATGTACAGAATGTACATGTCTACATTATATATACATAGGTGTACGCAGCATACATAGGTACATACTGTGCACACATATGTACACGTGCATATATTGTACATCTGTACATAATGGGTACATGATGTACATGTGTACACATCATATCACAATAAATGTAAATATACATAATGTTTGCAATATGTACGTTTATATTATGTATTACGTTTATTGTGATTATATATGCTGTTGTGATATGATATCATTGTGACATTACAAATGTACATATTATACACATTATGTACCTATGCATTGTGCACAGATTATAGAAATAGAAAGAAACATATTTTACAGGTTATGTACATTTTATTTACTTGTGTATTGGGTACACAGAGTAAATGTACAGATCTTACTTACTTTATACATTTATTGTGATATGCCAATAAATGTACACATTATGAGTACATTCTGTGATATTACATTTAGAATATAAGATAGAAATTACTCTGGTTACCAAAGTGGGTGTAAACTTATGTGTGCACATATTTTGTACATGTACATACTGTGCATATTATGTACTTGTGTACAGAAGGTAAATATCTACATTATATGTATGTATGGGTACAGAGCGTACATATGTACATACTATGTACATATATCTACACCTGAATTTATTGTACATCCGTACATAATGGGTCCATGCTGTACATGTAAACACATCGTCATACCACAATAAATGGTAATGTACATAATGTGTGAAATACGTACATTTATATTATGTATTACATGTGTATTGTGATTGTATATGCTGTTCTGATATCATTGTGATATTACAAATGTACATATTGTACACATTATGGACATACCTATTGTGTACATATTATGTACACATAAATGTACATATTGTACAGATTATGTATATTTATTGTACATCTGTATGGTGCACACATATGTACATCACAGTCAACGTACATATGGTACATATTCTGTGCATTGTTTGTAATATTTCAGTAAGAGTACACATTATAAGTATATTCTGGGATATGATTTTTAGTATGTTAGATAAAAATTACTTTCAATATCAAAGTGGGTATACACTTATGTGTGTCCATTTTGTGATATTATCCATCATATCCTGAGTAGGTATTTCTCTCATTGTGAAAGCAGGTTTACACTCTCGGATTGCTCCAATATCAAGGCAAACTAAAACTCGTCTGTGATGTAGTTAATAATATCCTGAGGACAAAGGATGACCATACCCTGAATATCGCAGGAAGTGTACACCACCACTGTAGTATTGTTTCTAATGTTCAAAAACGGAAAGGATATTACTCCAAATATCTCAGAAAGCACACAAGCCCCCCGTGATATTGTTTCTAATAACTAGAGAATTACAGATGACATTACCCACGACGTGACTGGGGCTGTACTCTGGTCCTGGAATATTGTTCCTAATATCCAGAGAAGGAGAGGAAAATGTTGCTGCCCATAGGGAAATACTCTTAATACGGCAAGAGGTGTACACCATGCTTTGATATGGTCACTAATGTAAGCGAGAAAACAATTACATTGAATTAAGCATTGCAAGGAATGAAACTCCCCTATGATTTTCATTCTAATGTCAATGGGGGTGAGGATGACATTTTTGTCAATATGGCAGAGGTGTAACTGGAGCTATTGCCTAATATACAAAAAAACAGAATAAGATTATCATTTTTATATAATATGGTTGCCAGTATCATATTACACCGGATTTGCAAAATAGCTGGGCCTCAGCAGCTGTGGGCAGAGCCCACAAGCGAGGGGACCCCTAAGCAGCCAGGGTGGGCCTGGGGGCTGCTCTGGGCTTTTTGGTGGGGTCTGTGAGCACATCGACCCAGCCAGGGGTCCCCGAGCAGCCATGGTTGGCCTGGGGGCCGCTACGGGCACTCTGGCATGGGCTGTGGGCACAGACACCTAGTCAGGGGGTCCCTAAGCAGCCAGGGTGGGCATGGGGGCTGCTACAGGCATTCGAGCAGTGTTTGTGGGCACAGCCCAATTGCCAGGGGGTCTCTAAGCAGCCAGGCTGGGCCTGGGGGCTGCTATAAGGGGGGCTTTGGTAATAGCGTGCTGTGCATCGGTACATAGTTTGCACCTATTACTACATGTGTAAATAGTTTTAATATCGGGCATATATATGTACATGCGTACATATGGAGTTATCACGATAAATTTATATTTACATAATATGTGCAAAATACATATGTACCTAATGCATACCTAATGTGTACAATATGTACTTTTTTGTAATATTAGACAATATATATTACTGTGATTATATATCTTATTGTGATTAAATATATTTTATCACTAATATTTTAAGGAATGTGCATAGTGTACACATTATATACCTATGTATTGTGTACACAATATAGAAATATATAGGTACATATTTTACAGATTATGTACACTTTTTCTACATGTGTATTGTGTACACCTATGCACAGCAGAGTAAATGTACAGACTGTACCTATTTTATACATTTCTTGTGATATGCCAATAAATGTACACATTATGAGTACATTCTAAAATATAATTTTTACCATATTAGAAATTACTCCATTGACCAAAGTGGGTGTACACCCAGGTGTGTACATAGTTTATACGTGTACATATTGTGCATATTAGGTACTCATGTACAAAATGTACATGTCAACATTATATGTATTTATGTGTACATAGTGTGCACATGCACATACTGTTCACACATATGTACATGTGCATATTTTGTACATGTGTACATAATGGGTACATGATGTGCATGTGTACACACCGTGATACCACAATAAATGTAAATGTACACGATGTGTGCAATATGTACATTTATATTATGTATTACTTGTGTATTGTGATTTTATATGCTGTTGTGATATGATATCATTGTAATATTACAATAAATGTACATATTGCACACATTTCGTACATACCTATTGTGTACACATTATGTACCTGTAATTGCACATATTGTACAGATTATGTACGTTTTTGGTACATCTGTATTGTGTACACATATGTACATAACACTCTATGTACATATGGTATGTATTCTGCACATTGATTGTAACATCTCAATAAGTGTACACATTATGAGTATATTGTGATATATGATTTTTAGTATATTAGATAAAATTTCTTTCTATATCAAAGTGGGTATACACCCATGTGTGTCCATTTTTTGATATTATCCATCATATTTTAAGTAGGTATTACTCTCATTTTGAAAGCAAGTGTTCACTCTGTGATTGTTCCAATATCACAGGCAAAGTACAAGGCTTCTTTAATGTACTACCTAATATCCTGGGGACAAAAGATTATTATACCCTGAATATCGCAGGAAGTGTACACCACCACTGTAGTATCGTGTCTAATATCCAAAAACGGAAAAGATATTACTCCAAGTATCTGATAAAGCACACAAGACCCCCGTGATATTTTTTCTAATAACTAAGGGATTACAGATGACATTACTCACGATATGACTGGGGCTGTCCGCCGGTCCTGTGATATTGTTCCTAATATCCAGAGAACGAGAGAATAATGTTGCTGCCCATAGGCAAATCCTCTGAATACGGCAAGAGGAGTACACTGTGCTCTGATATGGTCACTAATGTAAACAAGAAAACAATTCTATTGAATTTAACATTGCAAGGGGTGAAACCCCCTTATGATTTCAATTCTAATGTCCAGGGGTGTGAGGATGACATTTTTGTCAATATGGCAGAGGTGTAACTAGAACTATTGCCTAGTATATCAAAAACCAGAATAACATCATTTCCATATGATATGGTCGCCAGCATCATATTACACCACATTTTCAAAATAGCCGGGCACAGCGCCCTAGCCAGGGGGTCCCTAAGCAGCCAGCGTCAGCCTGGGAGCTGTTACGGGCCCTCTGGCGGGGAATGTGGTTACAGCTCCCTAGCCAGGGGGTCTTTAAGCAGCCAGGGTGGGCCTTGGGGCTGCTACGAGGGGGGCTGTGGTAATAGCCTGTTCTGCACAGGTACATAGTTTTAATAATGAACACATATTTGTATAAGTGTACACATGGTGTTATGATAAATATATATGTACATATGTGCACAATACATATAGACCTAATGCGTACCTACTGTGAACAATATGTACTTTTTTGTGATATTACATGATATATATATATTACTGTGATTATATGCGTTATTTTGATTATATATATTTTATCACTGATATTTTAAGGAATGTGCATAGTGTACACATTATGTACCTATACATTGTTTACACATTATAGAAATATGTAGGTACATATTTTACAGAGTATGTACATTTTTTGTACATGTGCATTGTGTACACATATGTACAGCAGGGTAAATGTACAGATTGTACCTATTTTATACATTTATTGCAATATGCCAATAAATGTACACACTATTACTACATTCTGAATTATTATATTTTGTATATTAGATAGAAATTTCTCCGGTTACCAAAGTGGTTGTACACCCAGGTGTGTACATAGTTTATATGCGTACATATTGTGCATAGAATGTACTCGGGTACAGAAGGTACATATCTACATTATATGTACACATGTGTAGTGTACATATGTACATACTGTACCCACATATGTACACTTGCATATATTGTGCATCTGTACATAATGGGTACATGATGTACATGTTTACATATCATATCACAATAAATGTAAATGTACATGTTTGCAATATGTACATTTATATTGATATTACATATTACATGTGTATTGTGATTTTATATGCAGTTGTGATTATATAACATTGTGATATTACAATAAATGTACATATTGTACACATTATGTGCATACCTATTGTGTGCACATTTTGTACATATATTCGTACAAATGATAGTTTATGTACATTTATTGTACATCTGTATTGTGTACATGTATGTACATCACAGTCAATGTACATATGTTAAATATTCTGTACATTGAGTGTAATATCCCAATAAGTGTACACATTATGAGTTTTTTCTGGGTTATGACATTTAGTATATTAGATAAAAATGACTTCCAATATCACAGTGGGTATATACCCATGTGTGTCCATTTTGTGATATTATCCATCATATCCTAAGTAGGTATTTCTCTCACAATGAAAGAAGGTGTACACTCTGTGATTGTTCCAATATTATAGGCAAAGTGCAAAGCTTCTGCGATGTAGTTCCTAATATCCCAGGGACAGAGGATGAGTATACTCTTAATATCGCAGGAAGTGTACACCACCACTGTAGTATTGTTTCTAATATCCAGAAACTAAAAGGATATTACTCCAAATATCTCCAAAAGCACACGAGACCCCCGTTACATTGTTCTTAATAACTAGGGGATTACAGATGACATTGCTCACGATGTGACTGGCGCTGTAAGCCGGTCCTGTGATATTCTTCCTAATATCCAGATAAGGAGAGAAAAATGTTGCTGCCCATAGAGAAATATTCTGAATACTGCAAGAGATGTACACCGTGCTCTGATATGGTCACTAATGTAAACAAGAAAACAATTATATTGAATTAAACATTGCAAGGGGTGAAACCCTCCTATGCTTTCAATTCTAATGTCAATGGGGTGAGGATGACATTTTTGTCAATATGCCAAATGTGTAACTAGAACTATTGCCTAATATGTAAAGAACCACAATAACATTATCATTTCTGTGTGATATGGTTGCCAGTATCATATTACACCACATTTTCAAAATAGCCGGGCCCCAGCAGCTGTGGGCACAGCGCCCTAGGCAGGGGGTCCCTAAGCAGCCAGCGTGGGCCTGGTAGCTGTTATGGGCCCTCTGGCGGGGGCTGTGGGTACAGCCCCCTAGCCGGGGGTCTTTAAGCAGCCAGGGTGGGCATTGAGGCTGCTACGAGCAGAACTGTAGTAATAGCCTGCTGTGCATAGGTATGTAGTTTGCACCTATTTCTGCATGTGTACATTGTTTAAATAGTAGGCACATATTTGTATACGTGTACATACGGTGTTATCATGATACATATATATTTTCATAATATGTGCACTATACATATGTACCTAATACATACCTAATGTGTACAATACGTACTTTTTGGTGATATTACACGACATATATGTATTAGTGTGATTATATATCTTACTGTGATTATATATATTTTATCACTGATATTTTAAGGAATGTGCATAGTGTACACATTATGTACCTATGCATTGTGTACACATTATAGAAATATATAGGTACATATTTTACAGATTATGTACATTTTTTGTACATGTGCATTGTGTACACCTATGTACAGCAGAGTACATGTACAGATTGTGCCTATTTAATACATTTATCACAATACGACAATAAATGTACACACTATGACTACATTCTGGGATTTTATATTTAGTATATTAGATAGAAATCTCTCCGGTTACCAAAGTGGGTATACACCTATATGTGTACCTAGTATATACGTGTATATATTGTACATACTGTGTACTCCTGTACAGAAGGTACATATCTACATTATATGAACATATGTGTAGTGTACATATGTACATACTGTGCACACTTATGTACACGTGTATATACCGCAAATCTGCACGTGTGCATGATGTACATGTGTACATATCAATATCACAATAAATGTAAATGTATATAATGTGTGCAATATGTACATTTATATTGATATTATGTATTATATGTGTATTGTGATTATATATGCTGTTGTGATTATATGAAATCATTGTAATATTACAATATATTTACATATTGTACACATTATGTACATACCTACTGTGTACACATTATGTACATATAAATGTACATATTGTACAGATTATGTACATTTTTGTACATCTGTATTGTGTACACATATGTACATCACAGTCAATGTACATATGGTACATATTTTGTACGTTGATTGTCATATCCCAATAAGTGTACACATTATGAGTATATTCTGGGATATGATTTATAGTATATAAGAAAAAAGTTACTTCCAATATCAATGTGGGTATACTCGCATGTGTGTCCATTTGCTGTACCTTCTATTAATCTTTGCCATTGAACATGATAGTGAGAGGTGGTTCTTTTCTCTAACAAGGTTTTCTGTTAATATAACTCAACTCTACTACCTTGTGGCCTCTGTATCTTCCATTGTAAATTGTAATTACCTATAAAAGAGAATATTTTGACATCACGCATCTACCTCTTGGATCCATCAGCCAGAGGCCTAAAATAAAAAAGACATTCACCCCACGAATGGTTATATAGTGGTTGACAACCCCACTTTCTTCTAGGTAAATAGTATCCTCTCTTTAACAGTAGCTACTTACAAGATTTGTGCATAAAGAATGTGACTTTTTTATCAGTATCTAGTTTATTCTTACATAAATTTCTAAAATACTGAGAGAATATTCTGATCATTGGTTATGTACTATTTTAATTTAATTTTTTTCCTCTCAAATTTTATCTTAACTGCATACTCTACCCTGTTTATAAGACTGCCCTATGGTTAAATTTAGTAGGTAGTAAATTATCCTGAGCACACAGAACAATTCTTTTTGTAATCAACTCTGAAACATCATTGAAAGAGCAAGGATATGGGAATTAGATTTATCTGGCTTTTATTTCTGGTACTTACTTGCTCTCTGACCTTGGGCAACTTATGTATTGCTCTGAGTCTCATCTTCTTCATCTGTAAAATGATCATAGTAATACCTAATTCATATGCAGCTTGGAAATGTGTAATTTAGTGATTGATATAAAGTTCCTGATACAATTTCTGACAAAATAATAGACACCCCACGAGAGATAGCCATAACAATCAGAGTTTATATTCACATTAACTGGGATAAAATTGATCTGAAAATACAGCATAAAAAAGCAGCCAAAAATTCACAAGCATATATTTCGCTTGCCTTTTTATACAGAGCTGGAAAATTTCTCATCATTATCTCATCCATTGCCTGCAGCACGATCCTTCCAAAACTCCTCCTAAGACCGTCTGCCAAGGTGGAACACACTGAACCGCATGTGACTCTGCCTTTTCTGACTATTTTTGCAAGATTTTTCTCATAGAGTATTATTAACAGAAAATGGGGCTGTTATCAAGGTGACTAGGAATGGTGCATTCTCAGTTCAGGCTCTGATGGAATGTCTACTTGATCTGGTGCAACTCCAGCTGTGCTCTTGGCTTTCCTCACTTTTGTGGTTCCGAGAATGCAAATATTCTCCCATGGCTTCCTTATTTTGTCTTTCTCCATGAGGTCTCATTCAAGTATAAACATTCCCTTCAATTTTCTCAACTCATTTTATATTGTCTGAATAACCTTGATAATTTTCCCTTTCCTAAAGCTATAGACCTTCTTTTGTGTGTAAGAACAGATTACTCACAAATGTTTACTGTCCGCTAAACATTTATGTGTAATCGGTCCTTAATTCTACACACAAAATATCATCTCTACCAACATTTTACAACTATAGTCTTTCTATAGAGAACTATGAAAGGAACTTGCTCTAAAGGAGAAACTTCCAGAGCTAAACCAAGGGTCTGACAATTTTTAACAATATGTTATTCAGTAAAAATATTTTTTCAGTTAACAGAGAAGAATGCCATGGACAAAATGGCAAAACAGAACTTTTCAGCACTTATTCCTTCACAGAAACATCAATTTGAACAGCCATCCGTGCATCAAAGTGTCTTCAAAAGAGACAAGGAATCCAGGTGAGAGGTTATAGCACGTTTGTGGAGTAGAAAAGTAAGAAAAAGGCATAAAATAGAGTATAAGAGAGTTTTCTATTATCTGCATTACCCCGCCCCTAAACCTGGGTAGTGCAGCATGGAAAGAGATACTATGTATGTGCAGAGAGGAGAGCAAATGTAACACCTGACTTCAACATCAACTCCAATGCCAGGCACAATTCAGTGAACTCAACACCAGGCAGGTTTCTATAGCCACAGGCTATGGGACAGACCCTGTCAACCCAAGCTCCAGGCCTTCCCCTATGGCTCTAAGATCTAATGCCTCCAACCTCCATGGCTCCTATCGACATAGGCTCCAGGCCTTCGCCACAACCAGGCCATTTATGGCTTCCCCAGGCTCCACACTGGTTACTATAGACTCGTAAGTGCCTGGATAAACAAACCTCTACATCGACACAGTGGAATATTATTCAGCAATGAAAGCAATAATCTTTGAATGTAGCCTTTGTTGCAGAAAAAAGCACGTGAGCTATGAAGCCATTAAAAGACATAGAGGAAACTCAAATACATACTACTAAGTGAAAGAAACCAATCTCAAATGACCACTGACTATATGAATCCAACTATATGACATTCTGGAAAAGGCAAAACTATAGAGACATCAAAGCGTTCAGTGATTGCTGGGGGTTGAAAAGTGGGGAAGGATAAATGGGAAGAGCATAGAGGATGTTTAGGGCAATGAAACTACTCTGTGTGTTACTATAATGGTAGACACATGCCATTACACCCTTGTCAAAACTCACTGAATATACGACAGCAAGAATGGTCCCTAATGTCAATTATAAACTATGGGTGACAGTGATAAGTCAATGTTGGTTCATCCATTGTAACAAATGTACCTCTCTAGTGAGGAAGGCTGATAGTGGAGGAGGCTGTGCATTTGGGGAGGTGGGAATGTAGGAACTCTCTGTACTTTCCACTATGCCTCACTATTAACTTTACACTGCTCTAAAAATAAAGCGTATTTGAAAAAAGATTGAGCTGTTGATATAAGCCCAATGTCTACTTTGACGTCCAGAAATGTTTCTTTTAAAACGCTAATACACCACTTCCTGGAAGAAAATATTTGTTAACAAATTCTTTTCTAGAACAATTATTTTTGTGGGTGTTCCTGTCACAACTATACATAAAAATCAGAATATGCAGCAACATCTTGATACTCTAAAAACACAATACCAAAAACGTTAAGAAAATCATTTCTAAATTTGATCTAAGCCAAAACGTGGAGAAGCAAAAGGGAAGAAAATTATTTCTGTATAATGAGATTATAGGTTGTTTCTCCGAACTCCTCTACAGTTTTCAGTATTTTCCAACTTCTATCATGGAGATATATAAATATAGAAGTACATATGTAGATATATAGTCATTAGATATATATTTATATATAATAAATAAACAGATACCGTTTTTATTTTTTATTATTTATTTATTTATTTTTTTTTGAGACGGAGTTTCACTCTTGTTTCCCAGGCTGGAGTGCAATGGCGCGATCTTGGCTCACCTCAACCTCCACCTCCTGGGTTCAGGCAATTCTCCTTCCTCAGCCTCCCGAGTAGCTGGGATTATAGGCACGCAACACCATGCCCAGCTAATATTTTATATTTTTAGCAGAGACAGGGTTTCACAATGTTGACCAGGATGGTCTCGATCTCTTGATCTTGTGATCCACCCACCTCGGCCTCCCAAAGTGCTGCGATTACAGGCTTGAGCCACCGCGCCCAGCCAGAAATTTTTAAAATTGTGTTTTACGTTATTTTCCCTTTCAGCCTAAGGACTAAATATTGAACACAACTGGATCTGCGCCATTGTCTCAAAGATTCTTAGCCTAGTTCCAGATCTATTGTCTGGACACTCCTGCTTTTTAGACAGAAAACAGGGCTAAATTCCTATTGACTTCCAAATACACAGACCCACAGATTTGTCATAGTAGCCTCTCTCTCTCACCCTGTCTCTGTCTGAGTCTCTCTTTCTTTCTCTCTCTCTTCCCTCACATCATCCCCAAATCAGAATGCATATATAAAAATGTGATTAACTGAAACATAGAATGATCAAGATTTTACTACAAGAGAAATACACAGACTTCAGCTAAGATGTTTGGTTGAATACCTGCATATGCCTTCACTCCATCATTAAACCACATTAACACGGGATGATTAGAAATAAATAAACCAACAAAGATAAAAAGAAAATAAAGACAATCCCTTCAGCATATAGAAAACTGGCAAGCAGAAGCTGTCAGTGACACCTGACAGTAGACCCAGAGATGCTAAATCCCAAGCCAGTGGCAGGAAGGCAACCAGGATCCCCAACGGTTCAAGAGTTGGCAGCTAAATATACCTAGGGAATTTATGTTTCAGTAGTAGGTAGATCCCAGATCCTCTCCCTAGAATCGGTGCCTGCATCCCACGGTGGTGGCAGGGTGGAGGTTTCCTCTCTATACAGTAAAATTTGGTGTCTCTAGGCAGGAGTTCTCTAGACACAAGTGCTTAAATGTACACACTGAACACTGAGATCCTCCAGGTTTTCCTACCACTGAGTTCCAATGAGGGTGGCAGATACACTAGGTCAGAAGTTAAGATGATTTTTCTCTAGAGAGAATCTCTCTTGCTCAAGAAGAAAAGGTCTGACCCAGCAAGACCACCACCCACAAAATGTTACAATCACAGAACTTCCATCAGCTTTTAGCTTTTCAGTGCTCCATTTTTTTCTAACAGACACAGACAGCTAAGGGTCACCAGGCATCTGAGTGAAGCTTCTAACATGAATGGCCGAGACCAGAGCAAGAAGACACATAAATGCAGCCTGAATGAGGACTGTGCTAGGAG